GCTCATGTCTCCAATCCTTGTCTAATTCACGTCTAATCCTTACTACTTCCTTCAGTACTCCTTCCAATCTACTTAAGAAAGGATTATAAATGGACTAGACAAGGATGGATTTTTATTTTCTTTTTTTGAATTTTGAATTGTGTCATTGTTGCAGAGGACCATCGGTATGTACTCGTATTGTATTTAACATTCAATATTTAATTTCGCTATTCGCATTTTTTACTTAATTTACAAAAGTATGTATGTATGGTTTTTTTTCGCTTTTTTAATTGCACTTGCCATTTTGTTAGAATAAAAAATCTAAATCACAGCTGCTGATAACCGAAAATAGCAAATAGAAAAGTGATTGTACGAAAATATAGCGATTCGTAATTGCTTGTGTATGTTTGTTCATACATACATACATATGTATATGTATATATAATTAGTGTAAATTTGCAGAACCACGCAAAAAGCTTATCAGCATGTAGAAATATGGGCGCGTGCTTTCAACAGCGTACTAATATTGTCATTTTCAATTTAATAACAAGAGCGGATCAAAAATTGTTGTACACAATGAAGGCACATTTGTTGAAAACTTAGGTATCACCTGAAATGCAAAAAGACGTAACAAACATCGTCGCTGAAATTCAAAAAGTCGTAACTAAACTTAGTAAAAAATCACACATCATTTAATGAAAAAATAAAAATAAAAATATTTAGTCACGACTTTTTCCGATGTAACAACATCGTAACTGAAAAGGAAAAATTATAAAAAATAAAAATAAAAATATTTAGTCACGACTTTTTCCTTTTCATATTTTTATTTTTTATTTTTTATTTTTTATAATTATAATAATAATAATTATTATTATTATAAAAAATAAAAATAAAAATATTTAGTCACGACTTTTTCCATTTCAGTTACGATGTTGTTACGTCCTTTTGCATTTCAGGTGACGATATGTACATATGTATCTACATATCATCGTTTAAAGTACAAAACCGCGTATCGTCGTTCTGCAAAACCTCGTACTGACAATTGTGCCAAAACATATATTTGCTCACCGGAAGCTCCTGGCATCAAGCCTTTCTCCATTTATACTAAAATGTCGATTCTTAGACAAAGGAAGAAGAGATAATTAGGGATAAAAGAGAGAATCGTTTTGAAATAAGAATAGCTTTACTCTCTTAATCTTGGCAACCTCACATACAGTTTTTTTTGCATTTTCTTGATACGCGGTTTTGTACTTTAAACGACGACATAGGCATTATATGTATGTATGTATGTACGTCGTTTTAAAATAAAAGATACAAAATTACGAGGCAAAGTGCTTTCATAAGTAAGTGTTAATTTGTTTAAAGGGACTTCAACGGAGTCACGTTTTGCGCGATTGCGAATGTTTTTTTTTTTATAGAAATAAAACAAAAACAATTACTTTAATTGATTCCTAGAATTCTCTATAAAAAAGAACTGAAATATATCTACTGAACTGACTTATCTGATAGAGGAGTTATCACTTCCTTGGGCACGAGTACATACATACATTCAGTGTCAAAAGTATGCATACCCTGCTGCAAATACTTGTACGAGTATGTACATTTTACGAATCCAAACACATTTTTTCAATGACATAGAGATTAATAAAAATATAGTTCATTCAACAGCAAAAACCACAAGAATAAATTATTTTTTAATTTCATACAGAACTCGGGGAAAATGCAAGAAATTTTCATTAATATTTTAAACTTTTCAATTCGATTTCTGAGAAAAATTTCGAATAAGCAGTTGTGTAGCTAATTTTTGCTGCAGCAGCAGTCACCAAGGCGAATTTATAAAAGGTGGTGTTACTGGCGAATTTAGGTTTTCGCCGCAGTCCTTCTGAATGTCAAAATTATGTGTTTGTTGTAAACAAGACGAGTTCATTTTACAACAAATACATCATTTTGACATTCACGGCGAAAATATAAATTCGCCAGTAACACCACCTTGTTTAAATTCGCTTTGGCAGTCACTCTCCGTAAATATTAACTTCCACAACCTAGTACATTCTGTGCTTACATAAATATGTATATTCGATACAAAACATGCCGAGTAAATGGTCCAAACAGAAATAAAAGACACAAGTCTACATTCTTAAAGCATGAAAAACGCAATAAATAAAATAAATTTAAATATGTAAATAAATACGAATCTGACTAAAAATGTAATAGCAGTCCAGCCGTTGTTATGGATCCATGCCGATGCACCCAAAACAAATATGTATAATGAGCAGTCAAATCCCTGTCGGAAATTTGAATTGCTTCTAGCTTATGACTTTTTAAAACAACGTTATTTTGGAACAAGTTTAAAAACAGCATCTTTAGGAAATAAAGTTGCACTGAAAGATATCTTTCAGTATTACTCTACTGCGATATTTGTTAAATTGAATTTTTTCTGAAGATAAAAAATAGACCCATCTGAGAAGTTCTAAATCACTTAACAAGTGGGAGTGGAAAAAGAAAGCAAGATAGTAGTAGCTGAACAAGTTGAGAATAAATAATGGAGCCAAAGCTTTCTCATGGATGAGTTAGGGACAGCGCTGAATAACATTGTCCATCAAATATTCTACTATCGAAATATTTCTTCTGTATTCCCTAAGCTCTGCATAGATCATAAGGCATGTGCCAAAGAAATTGTAATTGCAAAAAAATATTTTACATTTGTTCAAGCCAACCTCATTGATCTTTAAAAAAGAATTGTCAAAGAGGTGGATGTTATGTACCGCAAAAAAGTTTTCCGGATTATTGAACCGTTTAAAGCCGGCCGTCATTCATATTGATCAAAATAAAGGTGCCAGTGATAAAAAGGTGTATAAGGAGCAAAAAGTTTAGATAAAACGCTGTCAAGAAAGAGATCACAAGAAAACGTTGAATAATGGACGACCAGACGTACATATTGAGGAAATGTCGCTGGAAATTTCAGAGCAAAACAATAATAAAAATTTCCTGTTTGGCTGGCTTGTAGAAAAAAAGTTGTCTAATTTGTAGCAACGGTAACTATCAATAGCGTTATACATACAGTCGCAAACAAAAGTATTGGCACAGTGAATTTTTCGCAATATATGCAACGTTTTTTATTCTAATTCATTTTCGATAAATTTTTATAAAAATATAGTTCATTTTACCACCAAAAAAACATAAAAATAAAATCTCTAAACTTTGTGCAAAACTCAGGAAAATTCAATAAATTTACACACTAACACATGAAACAATTGCATGGTTCAACTACACCAATCGCCACCGGCATCGCCTACTTACAACCTTTTAGATGTTGAGTAATTTTAATCAGCAAGAATAAAAGACAACCGTCGCAAATTCTTAATTAAAGTGGATATAAAATTGGTTACCATGGGTATATACTTAGGCCCTATGAGTAAAATAATAGGCTCATTTATTAATAATACTTTTATTTAAAACAAGATTAGATTTGAATTTATCAACAGAATTTAACGAATAGTAATATTAGGTTTATGCTTTTTTCATAGCCGCTAAAATTTCCGACTGGGTAGTTGATAAGAATGGATGCGCGTATAATTGTCAGTTTAAAGAGTCAGTTACAAATATACACATTTATGTACATTAGAGGAAGTCAGTCAGCTGGTGCAAGCAAGCAACGGAGTCACTTTTCAGGACGCCCGCGCATGATGCCTGAATTAGTTTTGGGCATCTTCGGAGCGTAGACTACGGAATTGAATATAGTATAAATAGTGCTTATGTGGACTTGGCATGATGGTACTATGCATTGCATATGTCTGCGCATATATACATATATATATTCATGATGCACTGCATGTGCGCTTGTATGGATATTGGAATGTGCGCCGACTCCTAAGTTAAGACGTAAATCCGCAGCGACAACTTCCGCTCAACGGAAAAAAAGTGAAAAAACATTATTACGAAATGAACAAAATTTTTTGCGGATGTAGAAATACATATTCGCATACACATCCATATATAATCGGGTATCTACATCTGAATGTAGTACGTACTTAAAATCATTCAACATTTGAAATGAATTTCTAGTGAAGTAAAGCCAAAATATGCCAATTTCGTGCTTAAAATAAGTACAACAAAATTTTGTTTTTCGCTAATTACATCACTTAAATACACATTTTCTGAGAACCAATAACGAAACATTTGTTTATTTTGTAGAGCAAAAGTATCAATGAAAATTCCGGTTCGGTTATGTGTTCAAGTTAATTAATGAAATTTCATTTCGTTAGCCAAAATAATGAAATAATTTTAGCCAATATGTATAAATAAAGCCTAATAAATTACAACATCAGCAACAACAATAACAAGAGCAAATTTTGTGCTTTATTGAGAAGATTTTATTTTTGGCATTTATTCAATAAAGCAAGCGAATTTAAAAATTTAAATTTTTTTCACAAAAATTGCTGCGTCATCGCGCACAGTAAGGCTATTAAAAGCGCGTTAATTGCCGTTGAGTTGTAAATTTGTTGTAAACAATGTTTTGTTTTTAATTGATTTGACGTGGTTGGGCTCTCTAAGTGTATACTTTTTTGGAATATCCAAAAAA